ACACACACACACACACACACACACACACACACACACACACACACACATACAGAGAACAGGAAGCCAGTTTGGGTCGTGTATCTGATAAAATAGTTACCACATAATTTCCTGATGTATTTTCTCTGTACAGTGCACAAAACACAGCCTACTTTCCCTTTATTCACTTAATCTGTACATTTCCAGCCTGGTCTCCTAAAAATGACGTTTCCATACATGAAACTGCATTTTTCGAGGGAAACTTATTTTCTACCAAATCACCCAGGAGATAGCAGTTTGTATGTGAAACCGAGTCAAAGTTGGCTTACAAACACACACAGAGACACAGGAACACAGGGGAAAAACAGGAGACACAGCCTAACCGTGACAAGTCTGGTATAACAATGAGTAAAACAAGTGAGAATGTCCATTAAAACAAACGCAGGACTTTCACCCAGGAGACCGTTGTCCATGTACCGTCTAAAAACCAAAAGTCAGTGTTGACTTTATCATTTTTTCTGGCTGAACTGGGTATTAGCATACGCATCAGACCAAGCCTGAAAGGGCCAAGCCTTTGCTCTTGTTCTCCCTGCACACTTGAAGATTCATAAGAAAAATAATTTAATGATTTACCTTTTCCAGACTTTCAGGACTTAATGGATTGAATTCTGATGATATAAAGAGTCACTTTGGGGGGTTGAAATGCTTAGCGAAACGAGTCAGTGTTTTACAGATTGTGTATGGGAAAAACTGTATCTTTTTGGGACAGTGTGTCTCTGCAATACTGAGTGTGGCCACTATGCTAAAATCACAGCACAGCCTAGCAATGAATGAATAGTGTGCCATGTATAGTCTGTTGCACATTCTATACTTGGTAGAAACTTGCGAACCATAGAAAATATACATAATGAACTGAGGACTGCGGATGCGGTGGTGGCGTTCAAAAGGGGCCCAACAGCAATTTTTCCTTGGGGCCGTCGATATGATATTCCAGTCAGGCATTGTTGGATAAGAGCTGGAGTGTTGAAAATGGTGGCAAAACAACTTGAAATAATGAAAAGTGTGACTTGTACTCTATTTCTCTCATCAGCAAATGGACGGTGATGTTTACGATGATTTAAGAAGCCATTTTACCCTGCTGTGTGGGGCAGAAATGGACACCTGTCTTGCTGTACACAAACTATACAGCACGATATGGGAGAGTGTTGCCAAGGTATGTCTGTATATGTGCATACAGTGTTACTTGTGTTCTGTCTACAGTAAAGCATTCAGTAGTTTTGTCATGTCATGGGGCGGTCGTGGCTCATGGGGTAGAAGGGGTCGTCCGGGAACCACAAGGTTGGCAGTTTGATCCCTGGCTGCTACGAGTCCTGTGCCAAAGTGCCCAGAACTCCAAATTGCTCCCTGGGCGCTTCACAGCAGCCCACTGCTCCTAATATGCTAAGGATGGGTCAAATGCAGGCCAATTTTCATATATGTACCTAATGTAAATGACGGTTGAAATAAAGTTAAATTTCATAGTTTGCAAAAGTGCACCTAAGGAGGAGGTCATGGTGGATGGATGGATGGGTCAAGCAAACACAGTACATTCACCCAGGAGGCGGTGTTTGTCCACCGTGGCTCCTGTGAAACCAGACATAAGACATTTCTCACCTTGTCTCTTGAAAGACAGGGGTGGAGGCAGAGGGGTTACAGCAAGGTTGGCAGATTGGGAAATGCAGAAAGAAATAAAAAAAACAAATTAAACACAGGAGAATTTTTTTTTTTTTTTAAATGTAAGGGAAATGAGAGATGCAAGAAAAGTTGGAAGATAATAGCATACAAGTACATACAAAGAATGGGGCAATAGCTAAGAGAGGCTTACTGGTACATCTAGGTACAAGAAACAAAAGTTTACATAAGAAAATTCAACACATACACAAAATGTCTGAACTAATGTAGCAACTTGGTGAAATCTCATAAGTTGTTCCCTTCAAAATGTGAGTGTTTGGAAAGCATTTTAACACCTAGCTCTTAATTTGTATGATGTTACAAGGGTGGCACAGATGAAAACATTGTTTTTTGTCCACTCACACCCAAGCGATACAGGTCAGTTTGGTATCCAGTTTGGTTTGAAACCATGACTGCTATGTGCTGTTTTGGTTGCTTGAGGTGCACCCACAGACCTTTTCTATATTGTCAGAGCATATGTTTCCAAACCTCTCTTACAAATTGTGGATTTTTTTTTTTCCAAAAGGATAAGGTAGGAGGAATTGTTTTGTTTGTTCCTGATTAACATTGATCGGTTGCTCTATTGTCAGGTGACCAGAGAGAGAAACATTCTGCAGTTTCTTCAAGAATCTGTCGTCTTCAGCAAAACCCCTGAATTCACCTTCCAGCCAGCTCCACATGACAAGGTGTGCTTGAATGTTTGTGTGTGGGAACTCCGGGGGAACTCATTTAGATATTGGAAGGAATTGGGAAGATTTTCATCATTAAGCCAAAACAATAAATAAGCATGGGTGCATGTGTGTGCATGTGAAGGTGTGGGTACAATAACATTCATATAATAACTTTATGATATAAGGCTTGTGTTGAGTTGCACTATGCAGATGTGTACAAGATGACACATGGAAAGCTTAAGAATGAAGAATACGTTTGTCTCTCTTTTGTACAGGTGTCTGCTCTACAGGAGGTTTGTGCTTCAGAAGCAGAGGGCTGGCTGGTTAAGGAGGCCAAGAAATGGGCTACAAAAGCTGCTAAAGACTACAAGATCATCACCCATGGAGAGAGGGTGAGACTTTGATTTCAAAGTTGGGAAGATACTCCTGAGCTAATGAATGCTTGTAGCAGTGGCCCTCAGAATTTTTTCTTCTGGAAATACAGCTTTCTCTAAAAGTTATTATTAGGGCCCGAGCACCGACATAGTCGGAGCGGAGGACCTATTGTTACTCTAATTATTATTAGGGCCCGAGCACCGACATAGTCGGAGTGTAGGACATATTGTTATTAGGGCCCGAGCACTGACGTAGTCGGAGCGGAGGACCTATTGTTATTCTAATTAGGGCCCGAGCCCCGACGTAATCGGAGCGGAGGACCTATTGTTCTTCAAATGTTTATTGTTCTTATTATTAGGGCCCGAGCACCGACGTAGTCGGAGCGGAGGACCTATTGTTCTTCAAATGTTTATTGTTCTTATTATTAGGGCCCTATTGTTATTCTAATGTTTTTTAGGGCCAGAGCACCGACGTAGTTGGTAGCGTAGGACCTATTGTTATTCTAATGTTTATTATTAGGGCCCGAGCACCGACGTAGTCGGAGCGGAGGATCTATTGTTCTTCAAATGTTTATTATTATTTGGGCCCGAACACCGACGACAAGATGTTCTACATTTGTCTGACAGGTTTTGTAAACTTTTCAGACTGTAGAGGCTGATGAAATACAAATTATATTAATAGAGTTGTTAAATACAAGAATTAAAAATGTGTTCAAGTCAAGTTGCTCAGATTGGTTTAAATTCACTCCATCATTCTATTACAGACAATGTGTGTTTGAGTCAAACCTCTTGTGACAAACAGCTCAAAGAAACTCTTTGATTTTAATTGATTAAAACATGATGTGATCATATTTAATCATACTGTTGTGTTTACAGAAGAGATATAATATAGTTGTATATAATATGAGCAACAATTTGGACCTGCTCAAAGATCTGGAGCCAAGATTATCGCTCGCGCGAGAGTGAATTTTGATCGCGGAGTGAGGTAAAAGCGCTCGTCAAAGTAAAATACGCGAGCGGCTGTTTGATTTTCGTGCGCGCATGGATCTCATTTGCGCTCTCGGATTTTGACAGTGATTTACCTTCATACAGGTTCCCCATTCACATTTGCTGTACACACAGGCAGACTTTTGTGATCATTACAACAGTAGGTTTTCAAACCATGTCAGTGGGCATTAGTATGAATGATCTTCTTCATGAGAATCAGGTTAAATGTTACAATGAATGCTTCACACTACAATCTAAAGTTACAGAAGAGCTTAAAATGAAAACAGTGTTAAATTAAAGTGTTCAAGTAACAGCAAATGACACTACTGTTCTGTTAACTTTCATTTAAGTCCAAATACAATCAGCAGGACACTGCAGGGAGTTGAACCCCATCCCAGTAAACTGACAGTCTGTTATGTTACAAACACTGAAGCGCATTCACACACATTCATTTTCTTAATGATCTTAACAGGCTTATATTCATGATTGTATCGGAGGTACACTCAAAACATTTGAGGCTTAAGACCTGGCAACATGATCTTGCTACGCTGCTGGTCGACGCAGGAAATATCATGTAACTCGTGCACGCAGTGTATGATGGTCACAGAAATGCATGGCCGCGTCACCCAGAGTCCTGCCAGTACCCTCAACGTGCGTGAAGTTACGAGAGCCCGATCAATGCTGCTTGCAGCTTTAATTATTATTATTATTATTATAACTGGATTCATGTACTATGGGCAGGCCATAAAAAATAATGTTTTTATGGCCAGAGAATTGTTCATCTCTGTCTTTTTTTTCTGTCAGGCTCTACAGATGTTAGAGAGTCGGTTGAAGCTCTTGTCAGGGGACACGGGGTACAGTGTGGAGCAGAAAATAGCAGAGGTGCAGGACAGTGTCAGGAAGGCCAAGGTAATAAAAAATCCAACATGTCAGTTAGTTCTTCACCTCGTCCTGTTACCATTCGGCTCTCAGTATCTCCCTCCTTCTTTAATGTATAGAAGAAAGCACATCAATTGATAAAGCATATAAAAAAACCAGAATCACAATAAAAAATATAGTTTTTATTCAAAATGAACAACAACATTTAGTCAAAGAATACCAATTATCTATCTAAGATGTTTCTACTCAAAGACTGCTGAAGTCCATGTATAGAGGAGGTCGGAGTGGACAGACATCTGTAAGAAACAAATCTGTAGAAAACGATAATGTGCTGGCAGAAAGTTATTGTAAAAGGCAAATAAACAGGACTTTCATCCTAGAGAACGCATGTCCCATGTGAAACCAAAAGTCTACTTAATTCACATCCATAACTTAAATTATGTCACAAACATAGTTATTTTAAGCCAAACCACTTCTTACAAAACCTTACCATGTAGGTTTGTTGCCTTAAGTTTTGTTTTTGGTTTTTTTAAGACGTTAACTAGGTGTTTAAATCTGCAAGCATAATCCGGGAGAAAATATGTTTCACGTAAATGAGAATGCTGTTTAGTTGTACGCAAACATGAATTTTAGGAGACAGGGTTAAAAAATGTGGAAATGCTCCCTGAACGTTTTGTAAACCTTTCTTTGATAATGGTAATAAGCGTCAGAGCTTAGCAACACTGTGTATCTGACAACCCAGATGTCAGAACAGAGTCAGTAACCGGTCTGACCAAATATATTTCCCCATTCAACATTGGACTACTAACTAATAATTCATCACATATAGCCCCCTTTTTTGTGGGAAGAAATATTCCAGTTCTAAAAATACCTTCTCTTCAACAAATATTCCAAGTTCAACCACAGAAAACACTTTTTGTGCTCCAGTGCTTAACAGATATCTACAAAACAAGTATTAAACAGCATTTGCACATCTGCCAACGTAGTTCTCCTACGTACACCAGCAAAATGAAGGAAAGTAAAAAGTGTATATTGTGAAGCGCCGGACCTCGTGCTAATTTGATAATTTGAGAACAAAACCCAGCTGCTGTCTGTGTGTGTGATTGTCTGACTGACTGTGCGTCTTGTTTTCTTCCTGTCTCAGCTCAGTAGGGTGAAGGCAGAAGCCCGTCTGGCATTGTTGTCAGACAGCGTCACAGGAATTGAGATGTGGCTTCACAACGCCATGAACCAGGCAGAGGAGGAGCTGGAGAGGGAGAGACGCCTCAGTGAACAGAGGAAGTCTACTGAGGACGTTTCAGTATGCAAACACACATAGACCCAGGAATTTCCAAAAAAAGTCCACTGTAATTTTATTATCAAATAATACTCAAACTGGAAGAAATAGGGCATTTGTTGGGGATTATTTTCAGTAGTGTAGTAGGTGCAGGACATTTTATGTAGGATTAAGTCAACACAAACAATGTGTGTGTTCAAAAATAGAGCTCTATGTCACAGAGAAAGATGATATATCAGGCTTTGATACACACATGCACTCCTTGTTCGTAGGATACAATCATTGTTGGTTTTGGCTCTTAATGGGACTTGTTGATGATAGTGAAAATATAGAATTTCACCAGACATCTCCTTTAAGTCAAATCTGTCAACAACTGATCCAGTCGGAAAAAAAAGACATGCTGGTTATTGAGAGATGAAAACATTGTTTATTGAAAAAATGAAATTCCATTGCTCAGTGAGGTGGGCTGCGAGCCTCTAATAATAACCAAAAATAACAAAGAAGGGTAACATTTGGAGGATGTACCATATTGAGAAGAATATGTGATATACCTTGCCTACTCATGGACAAGTTTTCATTGTGTGTCTTTTTAGGAGGATGAGTTTGAGCTGACTGACATTGAGGACTACGATGATGAGAACGGAGACATCTTTGCAGATCCAGTGTCAGCATCTGGAGTTTGTATTTACCCTGCAGCCTGCAGAGTTGTCTATAGCTATCAGGTAGAGATTAATGAAATAGTCTACAGTTAACAGGTGGTTTACCTCTGCAAAAGAAGCAAACCATCTTTAATCTTAGGGTCAGGGCTTCACATGGTTCCATTCAGAACTCTCTCCATGCTTTTGAAATGAACAAAACCACGCAATTCTCAACATGACAACTTGACACCTCTTTTTCCTGTGGTCATGACAATATATGGGAAAGTAAAGTCAAGTTATAGGCCAGAACATTTAGAGAAATCAACAAGGTAACTAGAAAAAGTATATCAGATGTTGTTAAAAGATAAAAGGTCATGCCTATCCTACACAGTGTTGTCCTTCTCTGAAATCTGTGTAACCTTATGGAAAAGATACAGAATGTTGTATTTTGAGAAAATCTTCAGAAAACAATTACAAATTGAACTGCAGTTGTTTTCAACAAAGGCAATCGACATTGTTTTATCCTGTATATATAGTGCTGCAGTTGGACAATTTATAATGACAAAAGCATGTTACTTCCTATAGGCCAGCCAGTCAGATGAGCTGTCAATCATGGAAGGGGAAGAGCTTCAAGTGATTGAGGATGGAGGCATGGAGGACTGGCTGAAGGTAGTTTGGTTTGGTTACATTGTAACCTTTCAAGGTGTATGTACAAAGAATGATCCCCTGCTGCCAGAATACACAGATACTTCTATAAGACACACTGGCTTGCCTAGCCACGCCCTGCGGTCCTTCCACTCCGTTACATGTCCATGTATTGGTTAACTCTTTAAGACTCCCCGTGAGGAGAGTGTGCAGCCCACAAGCCTAGTTCACAAAACAACAAATAACAAACAAACTATGTACTTTACGTACCAACCAGGTCAAGACCCCGTAGAACCAAAGGCCAAGCCTGAGAGGCCAACGTTATTACAGGAGGTCTGCAAGAAAACCGTAAGCCGCAGCCATCGGTCATTACGAACACAACCTACGGGTCTGCCCACATAAGTTACTGTTACTAAGCAATCAAACTCAATTTCCCATGATCCTTTAGCCCTAAACTCAGCCCATGAACTCAACGTTTACAATAACAGGGTACTATGATCTGTGACCCAAGACTTCATCAGGTTAACAAAACCCACTGTGCTGTTGCGTCCTGCCTCTTAACTCTGCTCTTTCTTTGCTCTCTACCTCTTCTCCTGTACAGCAGAAGTGGGGGTCAGCTCTCTTCTGTCCCTGGCTCTTCACCATGTGGTGGATTTCTGACCACCATGTCGTCTGCTTTCCACCCTATAGCCACTATATGGTGTCATAGCTACCACTCTTTCACAGGAAGTTATTCCCCATAGTGTAGAGCAGCACTGTTTCATTTGGCAAGTGTACTGACCAAGGTTGTGTGACAAAAGGCTGCATGACAACAGTGAGCGCAAATGCCATGTCCACCAATGGCCTTTGTAGATAGGCATTCACACAATAGAAGTGTTAAAGGCCAAATTCTGGCCCAGATTTGGTGTGATCAGCCAATAGACCAGTCAGACAATGACCGCAGCACAGTTCAGATTGTGGTCATAGTCTGACAGAGTGACAGCGCCTCTGAATGCCTCCCTGCCTCTAGCTACATGGAGCGTTACAGCCCTGAGCCACGAGTTATGCACAAGAGCACCAGAGTTCACTTCTCACGGTACTAGTCAATACATGGCTATGCTTTACTTTTCTTCCAGTTACAAAGGCAACTTGAGTTTGTTAGTAACAGCAAAACTCAATAATTCTGAGCCCAGTTAGAGCCAGACATCTTACTATTGGTTGATGAAACTAAATTATGATTGGTCATAATACAATTAATTGATAGAACTAAATGCTGATTGGACTATGACACCACTGTCCAACTTTAACAGTACATTTGGACCAGCTCCTTGATAGTATCTTGTCATGAGATCACTGGTGCAGATGCTTTACGACACACAATTTTGACCCTAACTAGTCGCATGTCCATATCAGTGTAGGTGCCACTCTCTCTGCATCTCACCATATCAATTTACATTTCTAACATTCATGTTCTTCTGACTAACCTGGTAAAAAACGGAGAAATGCTGGTTATGTATTTTATACATTGCCATTATGATTGTTCAACTGGATTTTGGTCTGTAATTTTGATTGTTGCTGCCTAGCCAAGATAGATAGTGTCAACAAGTTGAGTGAACTGACAAAAGTCTTTGTCCCCGAGGTTTGAGCTGTACAGCTTTCAAGCTGTTTCCAAGAAGCTGAGAACTCTTTAAAACTTTGAGTTGCTCTAAAAGACTGCGGCCGGAAGCCTAACCTTAAGACCAAAAGGGGGGAAGTTAGGACTCACCACTAAACATGGCGACTGAGGCATCAAACTCAATTTCCCAGGATCCTTAAGCCCTAAACTCTGCCAATGGACTCAACATTTACTGTAACAGGATATTGTAATCTGTGACCCATGACTTCAAAACCTGCAGCGCCTCAGCATCTGCCTATTTTCCCATGTTTCTTTGATGTCCTCCCCTTTGTCTCCACTTCCGGAGTGGAGGTCAGCTCTATTCTGCCGTGGCTCATCTCCACGTGGTGGATCTCTGACCAATGTATAGTCTGCTCTCCACCTGCCACTGGAGTTCCGACTGCAGGTTGAAAGCAGCAGCAAAGCCGGATCTGGGTCTGTTCGCGGTGGGGTGGTTGCTGTAGGAGGCCCCACTGAATTCTGACCTGAGGGGCTTCTGGTGAACCTGCAAGATTTTGTGCCGCTGATGATTTAGGTTTAAGAGTACAGAAATATATTCTCGCTGATGGTCTCATTTACTTATGTAGGTCTTATAAAGGCATCAGCATTCAATTGAGACTGTTTCATAACCACTGTAGTGGCAGCTCATTTTACCGTCCTTCTTGGCCACTTCTTGCAGGATGTAAAGGGTTCTGACTGGCGTAGACTACCATGTGCTCTTGCAGGCTAAACTTTTCTTGTTAGCTGTCCAATGATGAGGCTCGTAGCTCGTAGTTAAAAGTAGTTTTATTCCATGTGAACAAAAAGTAAAAAATAAACAATTTCCTTATGCAATAACTGGAGTACCAAAACATTGACCTTATGCTGGCTATAACTAAAAAGTCTAATCTGCGAGAGCATATGGTAGTCTACGCGAGTCAGAACCCTTTACATCCTGCAAGAAGTGGCCAAGAAGGACGGTAAAATAAGCTGCCACTACATTAAGTCAGAAAAATTGTTGCTCCACATCCTGCTCCATCAAAGCCTAACTAGCACTGAAACCTACTTAAAGGAGTCACCAAAAATGATCCAATAGCAGGACAGAAGAGAGGAGCCTTTATCTTAATAGGGCAAAAACACACATTTTACAACATGACCAATTACCTTAAATCTATTATATAGTAAACATTCTAAAGGGCATAACACACATACTTTGGCAATAAACATAAAATACAAAAACTGTTAAGAATACAAAATGGCTCTTACAACCACTTAAAAGTTCCTCCCAGTAACTTAACAAAAACAACACTATTTTGTATTGAGTTAAAGGGTGCATGTTTTCCAGTGTCTCATCTTTCTCTCTACTTGTTCATGTCTCTGGCCAGGTGTGTAACGCATGTGGTCAGGTGGGGTATGTTCCTGAACGTTATGTGCAGTTCCCGTGTCTACCTTCAGAGGATGCCACTCAGCTAAACAGTTCTTTCAGCTCCACCTCATCCACTGGGTATAACGAGAGGGCAGTTAGCAGAGGTCAGTCTTTTGTATGTGTAACTTACTGTACAGCTGAATGTATCAGGTACTTGCATATTGTATTTGAAACACAGTCTCCCGTGAGAATGTAATGCATAGTTGCATAAATTGGCTCCTTTTAGAAACCTTTTGTGCGGCCCCCGAACATGACATGAAATGCAATCATCCGGACCATTTCAATACTTTCACTTTCAATAGTTTACATTTAATACACTACTCGGCTACTGCGTCAAACCGGGCATCCCTTACAAGCGTTATGTCCTGTTAGGAATTTGTGGCATGGCACCTCACAACCAGTGGCACCTCGCCAGTGTTGCGGAAATAACATTCTCTCACCAACTCTGCAGTTTAATGTGAAAGCGAGATGTGCGAGATGTGAGCATTTTTCCCAGCTCTGGAAAAGTACCTCTATCATTACATTACAGTCATTTAGCAGACACTTTTATCCAAAGCGACTTACAATTCAGATTCTATCACATTTCTACACCGTAGGCACAGCTACGGGAGCAATGTTTGGGGTTAAGTGTCTTGCTCAAGGACACATCGACATGTGACTAGCCAGGGATCGAACCGCCGATCCTCTGATTGAAGGACGGCGCTGCTCTCCACTTGTGGTGGGCCGTGCATTTTATTCCTGGGCCTGCACTTGTAAAAATGAAGCTCAACACCTACAAATACACTATGAGTGGAGATACATGACGGGATGCGGCGGTATTAACGAACAATGCATATAGTCAAAATCAATTCAGCTAAAACACGCATTCCACCACACACTCAAGAGCACGGGCCATTCAAATATTATTCATATTGTGTGGTTTTCATGATACCCATATCATGAAAACGACACATTAGACAAATTAACAGAGTACCACTCCCTCCAGGAAATACACGACTCCATAGTCTTCTTGTTACTGACGGATTTATTCGTCTCTCAACACCGAGAGGGAAAATGTGTCCCCTTGAAAACACATGAATCTTCAAAGTAGATCACTTAAAAACTTAACTTTAACACTTTAACTTTATAGAGACCGCTGCCGCTTCGCGCGTCTTCTTGTTGCTGTGCACCAGCTACATATGTCCCCAGCGCAACATAGGACGTAACAATAGTTCCTATCACATATAAAACCGAACAAAAATCCATATTCACAAAAACAAGTTGTACAAATAATAATATATAATATAAACAAGCATATTAAATAATGACATAAATAATATTTATGGCAGTTAAAGGTACTGCAGTTCACTTACCAGAGCTGCTGTTCACTATTTAAAGACAAAGTGCATCCTCCTTTCTTCGTTAATAAAGAGTTTAATCCCACAGTTGTTCAGTACATCCGTGCGTTTTAGTTCCAGTGAGAAGTCCTTCTCCATTCAGGGACGCCAGTGAAGACAGTCGAGCCTCCCCAGTTGTATTTCTTGAATACGTTTTAATGCGCTTGAGGCTGAAAATGTCCGCTTGACAGAGGCAGCAGGTATTGGGATTGTCACCACCCAACATGTCATGCTAGCCCACTGACCAATCATGTACTTGTAGGCCAGCTAGCAGGCTCTGGCACGTCAAAGAATACGCCCAACGTGTCACACTAAAGATCTGATTGGTTGAAGACTATGACAATCAACAATATCGTCCCCATTCACTTAAACTGCAAAGGGATGCACTTGTGAGTCTGCCTCGGGCCTCTCTTCTTACCTAGAGACACAGAGGTGAAATCTGATTGGATAAAAGCTCTACCTAAAACAAGCTGCACTGGAAGCAGGGCAACTGATGAAGACAGTAGCTGTGCAATGAGAAAATAAGATGATGGGAAAAATATTTCTATAAATTATAATACATGTAGTGTGTCACAACCCGGCTCAAAAGGCCGCAACATGAGGGAGACAAGACGAGTGATAAAAGTAATAAATAGACATTTATTTAATGAACCAACTAACAGAACTCAGCCAGCCAGCCAGCCAGCCAGCCAGCCAGCCAGCCAGCCAGCCAGCCCCTCCAAACAGGAGGCAGAGAGGAGATGCGCCCGGAGGCAAAAAAGAGGCGCAGCCTTTATAGCTGAGACTTCCAGCAGGCTCAGGTGTGGCTCATCAGCAGCAGATTACCATCCTGGAAACAGGACACAGACCCCTGGTGGAAGGGAGGGGTCGTCACAAGTGTATTTAAGAAAAGTTTTTAAATTATAAAATAGCTATAACTTTGTGATTCTGTTTAGGCCAGCAGAGAAGGCCTTGCAGGCCCTGACGGCCCACCACTGTTAGCCACAGTCGCCCACATCATATGCTGGCTCCCTAAATTGATGTAATTTGCATGCAGACTTGATTCAAAATAAGGTGATGTCATGTGAGTGCGTCAGGGGTGTCCCAGACTAAGAATTTACATAGTCAAATCTGATTGGTCAAGTCTTGCCTATCGTCGACAGATTGTCGAATCATGGTTTTGTTTTTTGCTCGTTGAACCTCCTTTGTTTAAGCTTGATGTATCTATGGAATAATAGTAAAAATAACTAAATTATTGGTTGAGATACATGTAACTATTACTTAACTGTCGTTTCGGAATTATGAACAGTGCTGTTTGTGTCTGTACAGTGCTGCACTATCCAGAGTACTAAAATGGAGCGGAGATCAATAGACAGCCAGAATGACAGACACTGTTTCTTAGCCTGCTTGTAGTTTTTAGTTGCTTGTAGTTCATTTTCGGTCCCAATTCCATTTCCCCATTGTAGCAATCCACAGACAGAAGGGAAAGGACAGGGAAGTAAGGGACAGTCAACCGGAGAGAGACGCAAGGCACAAACAGCTGATTCTACACACAAAATTGGCACACTGGTGGCAATCGACTGACGCCTAGTGGCAATCGTCTGACTAGTGGCAATCGTCTGTTGTGGAATATTTCTTATGACTAGTCAGGAGAAGAAAGTGAAGGTTTTCAATCAATATAAAGTAAACAGAGTCTTGATGAACGATCAAGGTTTGTAAAGTCAATTTATTTGCTTGCAAGCAAAGAGAACAGTCTCACAGACACATTGCAGTGATCTGTAAGAGTGGTCTGCCTAAACAGTCACAATGCATGGACATTTATGCTCAGACAGCTTCCTGTTATCTGCTTAGCTAACAAGAATACACAAAGAACACAATAAAAGGCAGGTCATCCTTCGAGCCTTAGTATACTCCATTTAAGACAGTCACGAAGGCGCTTCATCTCCTGTTTGCAAATCCCTTTGTTCACAGTTTGCCTTATAATAAACCGTTTAAACACACAGCAGATGCTTCCTTTGAGGCCATTGTGACATTGTTAAAATGACTATTGCAAAGACAGAATAGACATTTTTTTACCCTCACACATCATATATGCATGCAAAGGTTTACGCCTTTACAACTTCAGATAATGCGTCATAAAGGAAGTAAGAGTATTTCAGACAAAGGATCTCTGTTAGTCAAGGCCTCTCTGTGTCTCTGTCTTACGAAGAAAGAAACAGTGCACAAGATAACAGATAACAAGACACCTGGATACTAAACTAATTAAAATCATCTCCTGAAACTACTGTTTGGTGTCTGCACTTTTAGGACTTACATTCTTTAAACCTTCACATGAGACTATGACATATTTTCCCATTACACGTCTGACTGGTGGCAATCGTCTGACTAGTGGCACTCCTCTGACTAGTGGCAATCGTCTGACTAGTGGCAATCGTCTGACTAGTGGCAATCCTCTGACTAGCGGCAATTGTCTGACTAGTGGCAATCGTCTGACTAGTGGCACTCCTCTGACTAGTGGCAATTGTCTGACTAGTGGTAATCGTCTGACTAGTGGTGGCAATCCTCTGACTAGTGGTAATCCTCTGACTAGTGGTAAATGTCTGACTAGTGGCAATCCTCTGACTAGTGGCAATCGTCTGACTAGTGGCAATCGTCTGACTAATGGTAATCGTCTGACTAGTGGTGGCACTCCTGTGACAAGGATTGGCACTGGCAGCTCGTGGCACCTACATGTAAGCAGAGGACGAGTGAAGATATTTTCAGACTGTGGGGTTTTATTTTAAAAAGTTTTTATACTTGTAAATTATAATAAAACGGATGATTATTTTAATTATTTTAGCCGATTGTTGTAAATGACTATAAAGTTGCTTTTGTTTCAAAACCAGCAACTTTAAGGATGTATAAAGAGAATGGGTGGCTCAGGCGACTCAACTAAAATCATAAAACCGATTTGTCTTAACAACAATGGGTGTTCTCAGGAATTGTGGCTCCGCCCACTAAGCTCGGCACCTTCTTGCAGCGTGCCGAACGAGTGCTGCTCGCTTGCCGGTGTCCTGAAGAAGCCTGTCCTGACACCTGACTGCTTGCCACTGTCAGAAATCTCTCAGAACTTTGCCCAATATCTGTGGAAGTATTTTAGAGAGAGACCCAACATTGTAGAGCTCTGTAAACTCTGCAAGCATGCATGTCTTGTTTACTTTTAATCCCCACCATGACATGTTATATTATATGACAAGTCATCAGCGAGCCGGCAGGTCATAGCTAACAGTGTGAACAGGGCTAATAGTTCAAACGACAGAAAAAGTGTGACAGAGCTATACAGTGTTTACCTGAGGGGGGAACAGAGGGTAGTTGCCTGGGACAGCATTATTAGCTGTAACTGCCATATGAGAGCAGTGCAGAGTAGCGGCAGTGAGCTAACCAGTCGGGCACGCTCACATGCACCAAAAGCATGCATGGCCGGCCCGACTATGTCAACAAAGCAAGGAGAAGCACGGATAATTCAACACACACAGAGGGAGAATGACTTTATTTTCTGCTCAGGTATACATTACTCTACTATATCTTTACATAGCAAATAGTTGTTTGCTGCTATATTAATGCTCAGAATGTTAAATACAACTAATCTAATTAACGTTACAGACTGTTGTTACAGTCTGTAAATAGTTAGAATTATTTCCCTTGCCCCACACTGATGCAAAAATACATTTGAATATTACTGTTAATGAATATTTTAAGTTTTAAGTCAAGCACTTAAGTAAAATACTGATTCTCCAGGTCATAGAAAGGGTTGCTGTGCCACACAGTGATTAAAGTAATCCATATTCCATAGCAAACCATTTGAATTTGAGCTCCAGTATTTTTCTGATCAGGCATCTGACAAGCAGTGTCAATTATCTTGTTACATTACGTTTGTAAGATGATTGAATAAAATATTGAAATATTAACTCTAGGACAAGAAGTTTTTGATATTTATGTTAGTTAAATGAATTGTTACATTAATCTGGAATTGAAAAAATATTCAGTATATTTGGTATAATCTATATTGGTATAATTTGTTATTATCAGTACTACTAATAGACTGATATTTACAACGAAATCTATTAGAAGAAGAAAAAAAATCTAACAAAAGCTATACTCCATATCATGATATATTATGATATATTAGTAGAAAACAAAGTAATTCTATGTAAAATCAGACATTCTGCACTCCCATATAGCCCCACTTTAATGATCATTGGTTCATAACCACATTATTCCGCCACTGCAGACTGTGAGATTGGCAGTTTTTTCAGGCTTCTCAGAATGAATCATCTAATAGTACGTTTTGGGGCCACTCCTAGTGTGTGTTACTAATCCAGTTTCATTTGAATTCTGTGTCAGGTGTAGCCAGAGCTCTGTACTCCTACCAGGCCCAGAGTTCAGAGGAGCTTTCTTTCCAGGAGGGGGCACTAATCCACCTGATCCGCTGCGAACATGCAGAGGTGTGTATTATCTGTATTAATGTAGGGCCTGAAGCCTCAGAGATATGCTGTTTTATGTTGCCTAAACTTATAAGAACACAACAAATCTTTGCAGACTTCAAAATACCACAATCCATCGCTTTCTGGGTTTATAGGCTCTCTGGGGCAGTACTAGGGCTCCACTTTCATCAGTCTCAGCTTGACTCCAGTTTTTTGGCTAACTAATAGTGTTGGCTCTCATATTAAAATTCACAACACCCCTCAACTGCTTCATGCATAAACAGGAGTCGCTGGGTGTGGAAGTTTATTCTGGACCTTTGGCACAGCAGTTTGAAAAAAAAATTACCACTCACTAGTTTTTTTCAGAGCTCTCGACCACACCTCCCTGTCTCCACCAGGGAATAGAGTTTGCTCTCAGTTGTGATGGAATTCATTTAGTTGTCATCATGAGACAAAAGCATTACAACTGAGCAAATCAAATTGGTGATAAAGGCCATGAGATGTTGATGAAAGCTCTGGAAAAGCTAGTAAGTGGATCTTGAGTTTAGAGTATTTTGTAGAAGGAATAGATGGGTTCATGAGACAATGCTGGAATTGTTCTTATTACGAACCGTCTATCTGTTCTATTCTTACTTGTTATTTGTGTGTATCTACATGAATGTTTTGTTTTACAGGTGGATGATGGGTTTTGGGAGGGACAGCTGAATGGACGGATCGGTCTCTTCCCATCGCTGGTGGTGGAGCTCGTTCATGATGAGGGGGAGGTGGAGGATAAGGAGGAGGAGGTTAGACTGTATTCTCTGGTTTCATGAATAATCCTGTAAATCATGACTTTTCTAGATGATCTTACAAAAATCACATAACGCTAAAAGCTTTATACCGCTCACCCTCTGACATCTACCCAACTCAACTCATTTCTGTTTATTTCATTTTCTGATTGGCTTTGTTGCTCCTCTGTTGTTTATGTATTTTTTCTCCAGCCTCCCCCCGCCACTACCATGCCTCCCTCCATCCCAATCCCTTCCAACCCTGGCTGTAGTTCAGCTCTTAGTGCTACTCCCCCTGGCTGTGTGGAGAACAAACAGCAGGTATTTCCCCCAACGCTCGCAGACAACTCAATAGGTGAGTGGTGTCAAACTTTATTCCAGCCAGAGATTATTGTTTTTTGCTTCATCTGCTTCATTTCGAATGTCAGTTTTTTTGTAAACTAAATGTGTTGTTAAGATGGTAATGGCTGTCAGTGTTGTCCCATCAGACACTGCAGGCGGCAGCCGCAGTTCTCCAGACTTCTCCAGCATTCGACTAAGACCAGTATGTGCTTTTTATAAAAAAGAATATTCTCTCTATTTATGCATATCATTTGGGGCATAACAGCATGCACTCAACAACTAAATGGGGATTGGTGAATGCTGATTATACTTGTATGTATAAATGATCTTTGACCTGACATTGAAAAGTGAAAATCTGCACATGTTTTACTTCACTCTGTACTGTTTCAGTGTCGAGCTCCTCCTCCTCCTCCAACACAGAAGCCTTCACCTCAGCCTTGACACAAAGACGGGAGTCACTGTCAATGTTATACATGACGTGTAAGGACCAAAGGAACACTGCTTTTGTGACTTTTATTGTTATTATTGTTTTGTTTGCTTCTGTATTTCTTAGCTTTTCCCACTGGTCAACTTACTTGTAAGGTGATGTGAATTTACAGCAGATAGCATAATCACCCATAAGACTTCAGAACAGTGGAACTAACAGAACTAACAGCAGAAACAAAGTGTAGCTGCTTCAATACGCGCACCAACATTCAGTGTAATGGTGATATAACATTAACATTTAAGTAAGGGTGGTTGTGAAAAACATTATAGCACACATAGTGTCTATCACATGCAACTGAGCTTTTACTTTGTTAGCTCTCAGCAAATGACCCTTTGGAAGCAATATTTGCATAGTAGGTTGCTTACAGGTAAGTATGCAGTTCTAACTTAACCCCTGTGCATCCCTTTAAATAAGTTACTCTGATGTAAAAATGTCTGCATACTGCCATACAATTATATAGTAATGATCTGTTCCACCTTCATTGAGTTAAATCTTATAACCAGCTTCAGGCCTGATCATAACTACTAAATATTCGTTAATTTTCAATATGTCACTGTTGTTTTTTTATTGTAAGAAAACACACAAAAAATGCCAGGGGGATTTAAAAATGTTTTCACAGTCTGACATGTTTCAGCGATTAGCAACAACATTGATCTTGATGGATTGCATACAGCAGCATAAACTCTAGTGCCAACCAGGAATATAACATGACACATAGGAAATTGGCTCAACCTGTTGGGAAAAAAATATAATTTTGAGGCCGGGGCTCGAGATTGAAAGCCTGATATATAGAATGCATAACTTTATGCTGTGATGACTGTGGGATCAAACATTGTGGTTTGAAGGAGTTTCAATGACATTTTTGTCTGATTGTCTGTAATTCGGATACACAGTTTATCATAGACTTATTATAGGAACTGAGGTTGAACTTACAAAATTAACACAAAAAAGCTCACACCCTTGGCAAAATGTATGCCATATGCTTTAAAACACAGGCAAAGCAATACAAATGGCCCTAGTGATGCACAACGGTTCAAATGAATTGCTTAAACACTATCTGAAGGAATATAAAAAGATTGGTAGAGTAAAGAAAACACCCATTAACACCTCAATAGTCTTTTCCTATGTGGGTAATTGCAGAATAATATACACTATTAAATACTGTATTAAATTCTGCAAGTTGTAACTTTACCAAAACAATTGCTCATCAAAACAAACATTGTCCTGTACAGTTACATTACAATATAACAAAATATTATATGAAATTTGTATCTATACAGATAAATAAGTATTATTTTTGCATTTTAGTCTGCATTTGTATAACTGTTTTGTACTGTATTTATTCTTTTTTATCATTATGGATTGAATTAAACTAATACCAATAATATGGCTATGTGTGTAACATGTTGTGTTGTGTGATATAATGTTCATTACTTACTGTATCCTTGACTGATGTCATGTTGTGATGTCATCAAGCTCAACAAGGACCCACTTGCACAGGTTTGAAAAGCAAAGTTATGGTATTTATTTCATTAGAGTAAATAATGATACATCTGCATATTTACAAGTCTTTCACATCAACAGCATGTGTAGTATACTGTACATAGGCCCAGCTAATGAGAATAAATTATACATCTAGAAATAAAACACCAACCTCTGGTTTAATCAAATCTGAGGATTTACAGTGATTATGGAGAGAAATGAGTTTAGATGCTTTTAGCTTTTCAGTGGTCCTTTAATATGAGTATAGTTCAATAGCCGCTGATCTGTGTAATGCTTGATATCTCACCATTTTGGTATAATTGGTATAATGTTGCCCCAGCAACATGGTGCATGTATTGAAAGATGATCAAAATGTATTTATTTTCATTCCCATTGTCAAAAAAATTGAGTAAAAGACAAATAGTGTGTATTTCCATGTTCGTTAGGTGAAGAAACTGGATCTCTTGGTTGAACTGGATTTGTACTTGTTAGTATTCATACATTTATACTGTTGCTGGTGGCTGATTGTGACTCTGACTTAAAGAGGCATTTACTCTGCTTGATACTTCACATACACACCAAGGAACCTATGATAGAAGTAAGCATCATTACGTCATTGTGACACCATTCTAAATTTGTAGTTAGAGGTATACAGGTTTGATTTGTAGAGGCATTTGCTGGTTATTGGAGGGAGGGAAATCTAGACACACCGAGCCTCATGGGTCTGTGTTGAATAATATGGCTACTGAGAGCTGCACCATTAAGACATCTCATATTTTATATATATAATACTATATTTGCAATACAATGTACATATATGATGCATTTAAACAATTGTTAGAGTGCATAAGAAAAAAAAAGACATGGTCCTATACACATACTGATAATAATCTTGTAAATTACTTGAGCACATGTATTTGCAATAGAATAAATATGTTGTTGACAGAGCAGTTTATGGACAGATTTTCTGTGGCGATGAAGGTAGATGATGGAGGTGTATATACTGTATGTGAGGTGTTTGGTGACCAGTAGAGGGTACCATAATCACACTTTGAAACATTCATAAGAAACATGTAAAAACGTCAACACATCATGAAGGTATCAAAGTTCACTGCAGAGGTCCGGATAAAGATGCAGTGTTTTAGACTTGGATGGAGACATTCTGTGCACATGTCAGCTTGAGAAAAGAAAAAAGTTCACACAGCCCAACAGATGATCGTTGAAATTAAAATTTGGGGGAAAAAGAAAGACATGCAGTGAAAGGGAAATTGGGTCAGCAGACTCAGGCCTCCTGATTGCTTTCCCATAAAGGCCAGGAAATGACGCTGACCACCGACCTGAAACCTTTGAACTTTGTCTGATAAACTCCTTCTGTTCTCACCAGTCTCTGGAGGAGTATCCAGAGCCAGAGGCCCAGCTGTACTGTACTGGGCTGAATGCCAGCAAATCGTAACAAATAAAGATTCCCTTCTAGGGTTTGATGTCACCATTGTGTCACCATTCTCTATGTCTTAAAGATTAGTTTATTCAAAATATATAAATAAAGTACATATTTTCTCACCTTACTCTAAGTTTTATACGGTACATAAATTTCATTCACCTTTACTATTTGGATGGTTAATATTTCAGAGGCCGATACCTCAAAACCTGAGCACCCATAAAACCAAAGCTAGCCAATGAGGCGAAGGGATTGTAAGTATTACACTACCGTACATTCAAATTGTTCCTCTTGTTTTTGAGGGTTTGGAGTTCAGCATGTATTCGGCCATTTTTATAAGGCAAAACTCTTAAGGTTTTGAGAATGACTTTGAAATATTTATGCAAAAAGTTTGTACTGTGTGGTGGCTGGGCGCTGCTGCAGAGGCGACAGAGTGGGGGGGGGGGGGGGGGTGGTTCAGGGAACGGTGCCGTGTAGAGGCTTAATTAGCCGCAGCTGAAGCCGATCTTTAATTGTGTCTCCTCTCCCATATAAACACTAGTAGTGACGGGGAGAAGACGCTGCTGCCGTGCGCTGAGCTCGCCTCCTCCCATAGCTCACTTTATTCTTGTTGATCAATTTTAAGTTTCTTTCGCTGTTTTCTTCAGACATGGTGGCTCAGTCATAGCAACTACCTGGTTCCTTTTCTATGTATTCCAAACAAACTTAATGAACTGAATGTGATATAACAATATTTCAGATTATTACTTTATTAGTTGTGTATTTTCTTATCCTTAATTGCCATAATATTTAACAAGCTAAGCATCGGAAAGGTTGTTTTTCTTTTACTTATCAAGAGTGCTTTTGAAGCCAATTTATTTTATGACATTGAATGGAAAACATCTGTTACAACCGGGATCTTCTTTTTGTAATTTTAGCTACCATTTCTGAAGGCAATGACAGTGCTTTTATAATCTATATGAGTAGTCAGAGGGCCTTTAACAAAACCAAAGTCTTGTGTAACCAAATTTGATGTAATTATAATTCCTCTGTCCACAGATTGTAGCGTTTCAGACGCCAACCAACAAAATCAAACCAAGGTTGGGGAAAAAGGGTAATTCAACCATATGCACCATAGATCATGCCTTTAGATTGTTGCTGCAAGGTTTATAATGATAATTATTATTATAATGACATGATAATTATACTGTAGTAGTTTTGTATTTAGAGTAGAGACACAGTAAAGGTGAATGGTGAAGTTGTAGATAGTTTATGTATGACATCACACACCTGTAACTATGAGTATGATTCCCTTATCTGCCGATGAAGCTTTGGAAGTTAGACTTCAGAATACTCCATTGTACTTCAAAATAGAATTCATACTTTAAAATACATCATTCTTAAGTTTCACAGCTTTAAGGACAGCAGAGTTTATTCTGTGAAAGTTTCAGGTCTGGGAGCTTATTTCACATATGGGGCTCCCACACTGTAATGCCTTGGCATGTACTGCTCGATACAACTATCATCAGTACATACTACAAAGTCTATGGCTGTACTTGCCATCCATCACCTTTTGCCATTATTTTGCAGTATCCTGGTTCGATTTATGTTGAACACATTACAAGATAGCATGAGCAGAGAAGTATTGTGAATAACAAGACTAGAAAAAAATAAATTCTGAATATGTATTCATTTCACAATTCCAGAAAACTAGTTTGTGACTGGAGTGCTTGGTCTACAGGAAATGTGCCTGATTACACTTGTAGAAGAACTTACTACGATACTGATATTACTGGTGGGACTACTCTAGTTCGTCACATAAATGACTGCTGACAGGGTCTTTGGTAATAAGAAAATAAGATTCCTACTCAAAACAACTGGTAGTAGTTGTATGGTGGGAAACCAGTGAGGGATCAAGTCCATATTTCTTCACCAGCACTAACATGTGGTAACCTGTGCAGGTGAGGGTGAATCTGTGGGGGGCATTGTGAACATCCATAAGTATATACTCTCATGGGCAACACAGTTTCACTTCTAGCTTTTCAAATACCAACACTTGGTCAGTGACCCTTCGCTTCAAGCTATGATGCTCTAGTTACCCCTTTTAGCAGTTTTGGATGTGTGAGAGAAGGCTTGTTACATGCATAATGCTTTCTTTTTTTTAAATAAACTTCGGCGCATTTGTAAGTTATGGAACAAAAGTGAGGTAAAATAAGTCAATGTTGGCTCAGTCTCACACTGGACATGAACAGTGGTCTCCTCAGTGAAAGTCTGTGTTTTTTTGACCTAACTATCCACCTCCTCCCTACATGGACTTTTGCACTTGGTCAATTGCACTGACTGTCTAATACCGACACAATTACATTGTAGTCAGTTGAAAGCCTCGTGTGTCTCATGCAGATGTTAAAGGGTGTGTTGGTATCAGACGCTGAGGGGCACTGACCAAGTGTTGGTATTTGACGAGTTGTAAGATTATTTGTCATAGTCACTCCAAATTTGGAGAAATATGGAACAGACTGTTTTTGTACCTGGCAATATACTGTACTTGACAAAATCCACAGAAGTATAGCAAGGGGGCAAACAGAAATACATGAGCTTGTTGCATATTCACGCAACTGAGACATTTCCAATGGCCAAGCTGCCCATAGAGCGGCTGTTGCTCCCCTGTGCTTGTGCTGTAAATCTTGATTCACAATCAGCAGGATTTTGATGAGATTAGGGGCTGCCAGCCCTAAGCACATTTATTAGCAAGTCAATTAAGCACCTAGATGCCAAGTAACCCATCCGCCAACCAAGTGGTCAGCCTGTCACAAAACAATTTAGTCAAAAGAAAACTCCCCAGTGAGCTGCCTGTAAAATCAATTGAAAAATCTTAAACACAAAGGCATGGTCTGCAAAATAGTTAGCTATGATGTAAAGTATGTGTGATTTGTGGTGAAAAGGCTAAAACATGCATAGTCCACCAAGTCGTGCGACTCTTCACTTCTTTCTTTGGATCATCAGCGCTGAATGCTCAACCATCTCCATATGACAGTCCACCTATCATTTCTGTTTTGACTAAATGTTCACCATCTTCTCCACCTCCTGCTCCACCCTGTCTTCTTCTTCCACCTGTGTCACTTTGCAGTCCCTAATATCTTCCATCTCAACCATATCATCCTTCTCTTGGCTCACCCTTGGCCTAACCTCTGCTCTAGGAGGCTCTTCACTTTGATTTTCACATTGTCCAACACCTGAAACATAAACCTCTCCTTCCTGACCAATGGCTAGACTAATTCCTGCTTTTTCTGATTCAACCCTGAGTTCAGAAGCTGCTCCTTTCTGTTCTTTTATTAAAGTAGAGGATACTTCCTGCTCCATCATAGTGACAACAGAGAACTCTCTCTTGCTGTCAGGGCTGGCTTTGATGATGGTCACACTGCTTATTCTGTTTCCTATTGGTGAGGAGGGGGACAGGGGACTGGAAGGTGACAGAGGCAAACTGCTCAGTCTGTCTTTAGAAAGCTGATCAGTGGGAGAGTAAAGGGCAGAACCTTTAGAATCTCCCTCAACTGGTGAAAGTTTAGCTGATTTGAGAATCCCTACCGTCGCTATTTCTGTCTTTTCTTCCGTCTTCGGGGTTCTGGCTCCTTCCAGCTTTTGTTCCTTTAGAGACAAGGGGCTTGAAATCATACCCCCTCTGGTCATAGATGCTACAGACACCACACTTCCTGACTTCAAAGTCAGACGAGGTGAACATCCAAAGGACAGGTTTTGGTCAGCTGGAGAAGAGGGGGTTCGTGGTGATACTGGTATGGTGTCAAGTTTGGAGCTAGCAGTAAGAGGTAAGGGAGTTGGTGCTTGGAAAGGACTTACACTTTTTCCAAAGGATGAAGATGGAACAGGGGCCTGGCTAGTCATCGCTGGGCCTGATGGGAGTTTGGGGCTTGAGGCCTCTGATGATGTATTTATTGCGCTTAGTTTGGGGCTTGGTGTGACCCCCATGGGTGATATGGGCATTTTTAATGAAGAGGATGAAGATAGGGTCTTGATTGGTAAGGAAGATGGAGGAGATGAACCTAAGCTTATTAAAGCTAGGCTTGCATCAAAACCTGATTGCAGATCTGGGCCAGAGCTTGGGTCAGGGGGAGTTTGGGTAACTGAAAAACCTGGGCTCGAACAGGGTTCAGGTTGACCAGTAGGAATGACAGGAGTGAAACCTGGAATGGCTCCAGGCATGGGGGCAATGGGTGTAGAGGTCTGTAGCGGTCCAGGATCATATGTCTCTTCATTTTTTAACACCTTATCCTCACCAACATCTCCTTCTTTCTCTGGTGTCTTAAATGAATGTCCAGATAAAGCAGGAGATGGAATGGGAAGAGAGCTGGGGGCAGAAGCTGCGGAAGTCCCAACGGAAGGTTTGAACATATGGTTTGTACCAGGTTCAGGACTAGGCCTATGTTTAGAGCCATTCTCAGAAGCATGGGCCAGATCCTTACTTTGGGAAGAGGGAGAATTAACAGAACCTGACATTTTAACCGCACGTTGAGGTGAAGCAGGAGTTTGACTCTTAGATGGATCGGTTTCAGGTTTGATACCAGGTTTAGTATCACTTCCATTAGCAACTTCAATGTTCTCTGCCTGCAACAGTTCCTCCAGCACTACAGGTTGCTGCTGAAGAGCGAATCTAACACCTCCAGTATCCCTTCCTGTCCCTTCTCCTACTTTAATGCCAACGGGGTCGCTTCCCCGCCTAAACCCAAATATGGCTACACTCTTCCTGCGTTTTCCCACATTCACAGTAACCCCATTAGAGCCCTCTGAAGGCGATCGGACATCCTTGAACATGCTCCTCAGATTGTACCCTCCTTCCTTCCGTTCCTCGCTGTCCTGGGATTGATCCAGCTGGTCTCCTGAACTGACCATTGGATTAGGACCTCCGTGAAGCTTCTTATCAGTGTGCGTCACCCGGAACCTGAAAGGATTTTGATACATTCAGGATTAAATATTTCTGCTACTCTATCCAAACTTGCACTCTGCTTAAGTGGTTGCATTGTTTGCTACCTGCCAACAGAGAAGACAGTCTGCTCTCTCGGTCGTTGTTTAAAGCGGGGGCTTCGACTTTGTCTTCGGCCCCTTTTAGATCGGACCTGGGCACAGAGGTGACAGGAGTTGTGGTCGGTACCTGAGTGGACTGTGTGGTGATGGGGAGGAACACCACCAACGGACTCCTTAAGCAACCTGGACATCAACATTATCATTAGTATTACCATGAACATCATTATTATGTATGTGTATAGTATGTAATGTGTGTAGTTTAAAGCTGCAATTACGCTTCTCCGGGCTGCATGTAAGCCAACATTTGGTGTTGTCTGGCACATTATTTTGGCAATGTTAAACAATTAAAGTTAGAAAATCTAATTGCTTTAGTCTGTCAGAATATTAATATTGGTGATGACAAGGCAAAATCAGTGATTAGCAGTCTTTAAAATTAAAATTGTGCAGCCAGGTATACAGACACTACGCCTGACTGTGTAAAGGTGCGGTCACACCAAATGCGGCGCAAATTATTCACGCAAGTAGATTACATACAAAGTCTATGCACAGACGCGATGAGACTGGAGTGACGCGAATTTGCGATGGCACGGCGCGTCTGGCGCGCGCGATTGACGTGAATTCGAACGCCAAAACGCCACAAACGCGCGAGTTGAAATTGTTCAACTTCGGCGAACACATGAATACATGTTCCTGAATGCTGGTTTTAAAATGATTGAATATACCACATACAGTAGTCAGATATGGGAAACCGTTAAGTAGTGTGACTGCTCAGCGACATTCAAGCTACTAATGAGGAAGAAATACGTTGTTCATGTTCATTTTAGGAGATTCCAGGATTTATTGAGCTTGAGGCTAAAAAAGAAATAGTTGTGTCCTTGTGACATTACCATGCAGTCAACAGACAGAAATGTGTTACACTAATACAGACTGTTGGATGAGCTTACCTGGGGTCATGGTGCACATGGTTTCCAAACATTTCATTGAAGGCTTCCATGTTAGCTGGAGGACACAACAGGAAGAACCCATAAAAGAGTCGCACTAAGTACTGGTAGATGGCCGATACATACTGATCTCCTCTGATAAGAATAAAATTGCAGGGCAAATGCATTATTTATTGCAGGATATGTATGTATATGTATGTATGTTGTTTTTATCCATCACATGTATCATCCCCAGAACAGGATCCGGATACAGATCACAGTGTAGCAGCAAAGAAGTGAATAGATAAATGTTGATGACTTTTAATTTCAACTTGAATTAAATGAAACAATATTCAATCCAAACTACTATTCAGCAATTCTTTGGTCACCTTCATTTTCAATAATGCATTTGAGGATCTGCTCCACTGTGTCCTGGTTCTCCTCGACCTCATCTGAAACACAGCAGAACAACAAACAGATTAAACCCTCAGCTTTTAAACTTTGCCTAAACTGGTCCAGATTGGTTTGTCAACCAACACTAGTTAAAGGGTTGGTTCACTCAAGTTCACAAGAAGAGACAAGAGGTTTAGAGCTATCCCTCATTTGCCTTGGGGCAAATGTTTTTTTTTCAAATAGTCATCATGCCATTCAGAGAAGTCAACTATCTTTAGCTGTGTTTGTGTGTTTACAAGTGTATGAATGCTCATACGTGTGCATATACAGTTTTATGTATCAAAGTAAGGTTATGTTTGATTAAATCAGTGTGTGTGAGAGCACTTGTGATTCAGACTTCAAAGAAGACCAAATAGTTTTTTGAGTATTTGTGTATAGAGTATTAGAGTATAGAGTAATGTTTCTTTCACACATGCACTGCAACCCTGAACTCAGACATTAAGCGGAAGAGGTGTACTTGAGAATGCAAAAATGTTCAAATAAGTTGGTCCAGACATACACTGCCAGCTCCCCAGTACAAAGTCTATGTAATGTTCGATTGAGAGCTGCGCAGCCTGAGTTTAACAGAGAAGGACCATTAAGAAGCCATCTCAACGTAAGATGTTTAGCTTAGTGAGTCTGGGCAGATTTAGGTCATAGTGCGTTTATTATCTTGTTTGTGTTTTGTTTAAGTTACTGTGTTATTATTGGTTTTATGTATGCTCAATAATCGCCGAGATTAATGACCAAGATCGTTAATGTTGTGTAGAAGTGACTGTGCATTTCATACTGCTGCAATCGTGTTTTGAGATTGATCAGTGACCGCTAGTGGGGACAGTAGTTGCTATTTTATCAGTTCAAAGGTCAGAACCGCGGCTGGGCGAGTATAAGATCGTCATCCGGGTTTCTTCAACGTGAAGTCCCACGTGACGTAGCCAGGTTTTTTTTCTCTCTCTCTCTTCTCTAAATGTAGAGTACTATAAATGTATAGTAGTTGTTGTTAGTTTCGATATTAGTTGACATAATTGGAACTTAATAAACTCTGTTATACTTTAAAGAGCAGCTGTGTTTGATTACTTTGTGCATGTGTATTGAGATTATAGCTGGATATGTGGCCTGTTGCTCAAACTCACACCTTCACTGTTCACTCTGAATGTGTAATAGTCCTTTGGCTGTTGACGTCATCGTGAGTGAACACTAATTATGAGACTCAGTTTATAGTTTGGTTATTGGTCCCTGTTCTCAGTGTGGTGCCCCGCTTTTTCATTCCCAACACTGGTAATTGCCCATTCTTTTAAACACGCAGACTTTCTGCTAGGAATGTGTGGTCTTTAAGCACTTGATAACCCTGATGACATTTGAAAACTTCTACAGAGCCCACAAACATTATGCACAGGCTGAATAGCACTCCTCGAGACTAGTAAATTGAATGCAACCTGTTCAGTGTCCCTTTGGGTACTTGTGACCTCCTTGTCTATTCTCAACCCACCGTCTTCATTTTCTCCAAGCTTCTCCTCCTCCTCTTCATCGTTCATCTCTCCAGTGCGGCAGCGGTAGCCCTTCTTCTTCAGCAGGTGGCAGACGAGAAAGCCAAGCAGTCCGGTGAGGAAGAAGAGGAAGACCACCACAAAGATTATGTAGGGCGAGGGATTATCCACCACCCCAGAATCTTCTAATTCAGTCATAACGTAGGTTTGGTCTGAGTCATGAAGAGAGAAAGATTCGATTTAATAATTAAGTTGAGCAATGAGGGTTTTTAGGGTTTTTAGATGTATATTAAGCGTGTGTCTAACAACTGGTTTGGAGCGAATAAACTCTACTACAGCGTAGTTTCGTCAGAACTTCGCGTATAGACTATGCTTTAGGAATGGCTGCAATCTGCCAGTAAACAGAGTAGAGGACGTAGCGGTTGCAAACTGGAACCGTAACTGGAAATTGAATCGAATTCATGTGCTATAAAAAAATTGAGATTTTGTTTCAATACGGCAATTAGTAATTGTTCTTTCATGTCTGCTAGAATTGGTCATCTTTAATGCTGTCTAGAGACCAAGAATATTCGAATATCCAGAAAGAACACTGAAGATGACTGATCAGTCATGTGAGTTAAATGTTTTCTCAGTCAGAATTTATTCGGCAAATGCGTTTCCATAACAGATGTAGTGCATCAACTCTTTCTCAACAAAGCAAGCAAGAAACACCTCAAGCTAGCGTCAAAACTTTTGTGCACAATTGAGGAAGTTTTAGCGAATTATGCTGTTGTCATAGAGCGTTTCCAATGCGATACTTAAAAATGCGTACAACACACACACTCATAGCTTCTGGACAACATAAATGTTTTGAAGAGTTTTTACGAGAATAATAAAGAACATTTAAGCCAGGAGTAACACCTCCCAGCCCTAACCTCAGTCAATTGAGACAGAGGCATAGTATAAGTTTAAAAAACGTACAAGCTTTGTGGTTGGTTCAAATCATCACCAAGCCTTCTGTTGCAGACCCGGTCAACATCAAGAGTAGGTCTAGGAAACAGAGAAAGGGAGGAAGATAGAGCCATATGAAGTGACCTTTCAGATATTTCAAAGAAAAGAAGGAAGAAAGAGAGACACTCATTTTTTGCCTTGAAAACTGTTCCACAAAAGAAAAATGTCTTACAGGCAGTTATAAGACTCAGTGTTACAAACATGTATTTTGCATAAACTGTGTGAATTTATTAGTTAGCGGTTGAGCTTATTTTGGACTCTCCGGCTCTTTCCCTTCAAAGGCCAGCACTGTCAGGATGGCTTGTTATTAGTCAATGGCTCAAAATGTGTGTGTCAAAGTGTAACAATCCACCTAATTATATTAACCTAAAAAGGGAAAAGTACATACGCGGTAGGTTACGGGCGGATCTGAATTGGTCAGGTATACAGATACTACGTCTGACTGCGTAAAGGTGCGGTCACACCAAATGCGGCGCAAATTATTCGCGCAAGTAGATTACATACAAAGTCTATGCACAGACGCGATGAGACTGGAGTGACGCGAATTTGCGATGGCACGGCGCGTCTGGCACGCGCGATTGACGGGAATTCGAACGCCAAAACGCCACAAATGGGCGAGTTGAAATTGTTCAACTTCGGCGAAAAAAATCACGTGACGCTGCGGCGCGATGGCCTATGAGCGTTGACCCAGAGCTCTACGATACCTCATATCAATAGAGACCAAACTATGTGTATAAATGTGTGTGTGTAAACCTTGAGGAGAGAACTAACTAAACATGGATTCAGACTTTTTACAAATCAGCATCATTACATAGTTATTTCCCTTTTTGTCGGTTTATTGCCGTTAAATCACAGCCAAATCAGTTTATTTTGTGTTCATACAGCTGTAGTAAACCAACCGACGTGTGGCTTGCTAGACACAGTGAATACAGCTCGATAAAATGCACCCAGACATGACGGCGTTTAGTTTCTTGTGATATCTGGGACTTCCACAACACGTACTAAAGAGAAATATAGGTTATTTTTTCCATGGTTGATGGCAGACAGTTGAACGGCTTCCAGGGCGATAAGCCACGCCCCGTCTCTGGTGTGTCCAGCGCAATTCACGCGAATGAACACAAATAGTCCCCGGCGAGACCAGCGTCGCGAATTGTGGTGTGAACACGGCATAACAGTTTAGGGTACAAAAAAAACACTGAAGGGTCTCTATTATTCACTCTGAGGACAGACCACATCAGACACAAAAGAAACCACATAGTCAGTTAAATATAACACAATATATTAATATTAGTGCTGGGCAAGTTAACGCGTTATTATCGCTATTACGCATTAATGAATTAACGGCGACAATTATTTTATCGCGCATTAATGCATTTTTAAAAATTATTATTTTGAAAGTCCGTTGCTCGCTGGCAGCGGTGGAGAAAGTCTTCAGCAGACTACGTTGATGCAGCGTGTGGGAGAAGTATAGATAAACAAAAGCAAGACAAGCTAACAAATGCCACAGAGAAGTGGATACAAACTGCAGCCGATTAGTAGTAGTATAGTATTAGTATTGTTCTCAAGGTGCGTTCGCGTCGCGTTTGGTGTGAACGCACCTTTAGGATCGCAACGAATGACGGCACGTATGAGCCTCAAGACGCACCATCACAAGAAGAATACACGAGTTGTATGAAAAGGAGAGGACTACAAAAGTGACGGTGTTATAACGTGCACCAGCTGTTGCTCTCATTGGAGACTACTGGACATCGCTGCAAGAAATATGATCGCTGCTGCGAGACATCTGCCTTTTGAACACGTCCCCTGCATCGTTCTGTCACACTGTGTAAAGGGAATAATGCTGTTAAAAAGAACCTTATTTGTTTAAAGTGTTTGCAAACCAAATGTTATTGCACTTTTGTTCATATAGCAGTACTTTTAAAATAAAAGTGCGCAATACACAACTTTTGAATTCATTATTGAATTTTGCGCTTAACAATACGATTAATCGCGATTAATCGCAGAAAATCATGCAATTAATCGCAATTAAAAATTGTAATCGTTGCCCAGCACTAATTAATATAAATCAAATTCATTCGGCATACGGGATACAGCAGAACAAAATAACCGTGATGCTCCCGCTCTACTCTGGCACAATAAACCAAACATTTACAAGTTGTAGCTCAAACCCAGTTCCAAAGTTTCTTAAAGTAATGCAAAACAGTCCGATGACAAAATCAATTCCGACGCAAAGTCAATGACAGGCGGAAGCGTACGAGACGCCGCGGCTCCTTAAACCCTTGAACACACGCTACCTCACCACCGCCGGTTTAGCTGGTGGTACTCCTTGCCGAATCTCCGTGCAGACTCCCGCTCTGTAATCCCAGGAAAGGTCCTATCTGGTCTTTTTGAGCAGTTACCTGCAAATCGTGCTCTCCGAGTCCACTAAACACCGACGGCTTTTCCTGTCGGCGCGCACCTTCTCCTCTCGTGTCCCTTCCCCCCCGTCACAATTTCGACAAACCAGGTCAACTAAAATAAAAACAATAACAGACCCTATTCGTATCCTGTGTTAATCATTACAGGCAACTAATAACATTCATAAATACAGCACTTTTAAATATGTGAAGGAAAATAACCCATAGGTTCACCATTTACAATTGCCGTACCCAAAGGCAGACTTTTGCGATCATTACAAAAGTCCATCACAATTGTGCAGACTTACATTGTCTTGTTGGAGGGAATCAACTAATCACGTCAATTTCAATACGCTATGGAATTGCCACCATTTCACAATTTTAAATGCTGGTGTGACCAGGACTAAGAGAAAATACAAAGAGGCTCCAGAAACTGAATAGCTCCAGCCCATCTGGCTAGCGTGGTAATCTGTGCCATGTTCTGGTGTGAGTGGGCTTTTAATTACAGGATGTCACAATCTGCTTCTCTGACCCTCCCTTCCTTCAGCCACATTCCCACCTCTCCAACCAAACCTGTTCATGGCCATTTTCTACCCATCAACAAAATGCCCCTTGACTTTTCCACCTGACCCACCCATATTACTGACTCCAGCCCCTCCCCCCTGCCCTGCAATAACCCCTTGACTTTATGGCCAGTGCACTGTACTTCGTCTGCTGGAGGAGCAGCCAACAGACTTGATCTGGTTAAGAAGGCCGGCTCCATCATTGGCTGCAAACTGGACAGTCTGGAAAAGGTGGTGGAGAGGAAGACACTGAAGAAACTATTATCCATATCCATACCTGGACCACCCTCTCCACCACTGCTGCAGGGACAGCGGAGCACTTTCTCCAACAGACTCATCCAGCTCCGCTGTCACAAGGACAGATACAGGAGAACATTCCTGCCCACTGCCATTAGACTGTACAACAAATCACCTCTGGCCAGATCATTCACACAACTATAACACCGTAATACTGTTTGTTAAATCTTTGTCCTATTGTTTGGTTAGTTAATTTAATATTATTATATTTTATTGTATATATTGTGCATTTTTACATCTAATATTTTTAAGATGACTTAACTATCTGTCTATCTGTTTATCTATCTTATACACAGGGTTACCAATGGAAGCCGGGGACGTATGAAAAAAAAGGTTAACAAAGAGGACAGCACATTGGACAATTTACATTGAATGGCCTTTTACATTCACACCAAAACATTAAGGATTAAAGATGGAACATAAAAACACATGAAAGCAGAGGAATGAAATCAGAGACTATATTACACACGTGGTATATTCATCAACCATTTCTTTTAATTTTGTTATCTAAGCTGTTTTGACATAAACAAGTAAATCGATTATTTGACAAATACCTCTCATCTCGTGAGGCAAGAGCCTGGAAGACGTTCAAATCATGGAGTAAAAAGCTAAAAACAAATAATGTCAATAAATGTCAAGATAACGTGATGTCGCAGCAAAATGCTGTCCAATTTACACAATTTCAAGCCCTTGCAGTCTCTCACACCCAGCAATTTAACAGGTGAGGTCAGAGTCCCTGAGGGTTCAGGATTGAAGGTATTAGGGGGGACATTGGGATTGGGCCTGGAAGATTGATAAAGGATGCTTATCTCTCTGTCCCCCGTGCAGCTTTGGGACTCTCTGATCACTGTGTGGTAATAATGTGGCTGCAATCAGACCCTGCTGAACCAAGGCTGCAGTTCTTGGCTCGTCCTACAACTATGGGTTCAACAGTTTAGTGTTTGTCTGCAGCCAAGAGGAAGACAAGTACAGCCCAAGCCGAATGACTGTAAGTTTCATTTTCATGTCTGACTGGCTCCCAAACACAATCTCACAGCAATGTCGGAGACTCGTGTGGTCATGGCTAGATTATCAACCAGGCCAACAGGAGCCCTGAATCCCCCAGGTTCACTGTGTGCCAGTTGGTTTGATTAAATGTAAATGTGTTTAAGAATGTACAATAAGGAGATTATCAAGTTAAAAGATAAGGGTCTTAAGACGGCCTTAATTATTACCTAACTTCATTGCCCTGTGTCAATATGAATTTTAAGACCTTAATTTAAAAATGCATATTCCTAAGTAAATTAAATTGTAAATAAGAATTTGATACACAGAAAACAGAGGTTCAGGTATTGCCTCAGCAAAGGAGTCTTAACTAGTATCTGGGAAAAATACTATATATCACATTAAACCACAAGAATGAAAGCCAGTTGTCTGCTTAACGAAAGAAAGAACAGAAGAACAGATACAATTAAACCATGTAGCGAGCATCAACAGATACCACACAACGATACACTGCACATGCATGACATGCACAAGCTTGTATAGCCCATTTATCTTGTAGTGATGTATTTACTTTAAAGACCTTTTTTTAAATATGGAATTTGTGTAATTTTGCCATACCTATAAACTCTCTTACAAATGCACAGGCCTTGCAAAATACAGAAACCTTGTAGCATCTGTCTTTATGCCTGATAAATGGTCTGTACTTGTATAGCGCTTTTCTAGTCTTCTGAACATTTAAATCGCTTTAACACTACATGACATCATTCACACCCATTCATACACTGATGGCAGGGGCTAC